ACCAGTATTCAGATCAACTATTTTGTATCTTTATAGCTGTGCCCACTATATATGGATACCCCCAATCTCTGCTGTGGTTTCATCTTGTCCTTGTGTTTTGGGACATCTGCATTTTTAACTGCTTAGCCCCACAAGATAGTTTCTCATAAGGCACCTCGATAATGAAGTAGGCGTTTGTGATTTTAAAAACTGCAAAATTATATTTATAAATGTTATAAAGTGGACCAAAGAAAAATGAGTAAAAGCTAGCAAATACATCATATACCCACAAGAGCTGTCCACAGTCCTACTTTTAATGGTATTGGAAGAATACAAAGGATTCTAAATGTTCAGATATATTTGCTCTTGGAGGAAGGTATAAGCATTCACATACGTTATTTTTATATATACAGTTTATCTTCACATTATTTACCTGAGTCTTTTGAGATACCTTTCAATTATTCAAAGCCTACAAAGAAAGGGGTTTTAAAATCCCAGTAGATTTTGTAGAGTAAAACATCAACAAAGCATGTGCTAACATGTTTAAAAAGTTTATTTTGATGATATGCACACTGTTGAGCGTGTACAAATGTAGAGGTAGACATGACTCCGGGGACCTTGCATCTTCAGGTCTAGGACGTTATAGGCTTGTTTCAAATATAGCAGAAGCACAAAGTTCAGGGTACAAATGTGTTTTACAAGAAGACATGAGGGGCACAGCGGGAAGGACTGAATTACTTTTGCAACTCTGTAAGTGTACACAACCCATGTATAGTCCATCCATTATTCACTCCTACTAGTGCCACATCACAGATCTTAGTAGAATAGACTGATTAAAAAATAACAGCTTTAGCCGTGGACCTGGGAAGCTATTTTGTTGTATTAACAGTGGATGTTCACACTTTTTCAAGAGACTCTACTTGTGCTTGTAGGAAATTGTGATGACAATTGTTAGAAAAATCCAGCTGTTTATTTGAAAGCAAGCAAACTAAAATATTGTTACATCAAAGCTCAAATTCACAAAGGACTGTATATGATCTAGTAGAGCAGTGCTCAGCCTAAACTCCACAGGCTGGATATGGTCCACAATCTGCTTTCTGAGACACCTAAAGTTGTTAAATGGTTTAAAGATAAGTCTCCTTTCCCTTTTCCCATCCTCAGTTTTTTTATATTTTAAAGTTGGACAGCAGCCTTGTCTTTTCCCATCTTCAGCCATTGCCATTTGATCTTACATGTGGTCCCACAACCATGAAAGCAATAATATTGATTTTAGGCATGAAGGAAATACATTAATCTATGGGGCTTCCCAGTGGTCTGGGCATTTGGTGGTGGGAAAGAGGTAGCAGCGTTAATTGCCCTTGATTGGCATTAACAGCATCAACTGTGTTACTGTTCTTTGGAAGCCAGGGCACTGCCACTGCTCCCCCATCACCAAATCTCTGGACCTGTGGGGAACTCCACAGGATGGATGACATGGCCCTGTGTGCCAGATCATGCTGGCATGCAGGGCTGGGCTGTGGCCTGCACATGGGGTTGCTTCACAGCTGGATCCAGCATATGGGGTCAGACTGGTGTACGAGGGTGCTCTGTAGCTGGTTTTGCACTCATAGACTAACAACTGTATGCCATCCATCTAGCACATGGGACCAAACGGTTTGAGAGCACCACTACTCCAGAATTTGATCAGTGAACTGGCAGATTAAAAGGATTTCATTCCAGGATGTATTGCTACACGAATTTGGAAAATTCATTTAGCCTACATGCCTTAATTTTCTTCTCCACAGAAGGAGTTTACCCACCTTTCTAAAGTCCTTTTGTGCCCTCTGATGAAAGACATCTACAAGCACAAATGACTTTAGATGTGAAGTAATGTATCATGGAAACTTGCATCAGAAGTGATAGAAATAGCCAGGTCATAGATTTTCAGAGTAGATGGAAAATAGAAATTCTACACTTTAACGTGAGACCCTAACAAGCATGGCATTTATGTAGTAGTTAACCATATACTAATAAGAGGAACAAGCTTTTTCTTTCATTAACTATAATAATATGTAATTGCTACTGGATGGAAGAAAACCAAGCAAGACACCAATGTCTCTCACGTGATCAATAAAATACTTTAAATTAGAGAAGCAGAAATTTAGAGATACAAATGTAACTTCCCATCTATTCATTAATAAGCTATTCCTCAAAATAGCTTCTCATATATCAGTTTCTTATATGTAAAATAAAAGTGCAAGATTCAAAGTCTGCCTATGTCCTTAAACTAACACAGCTACAACCTATACCCAAGATTTAAAGTAGTTAACAAAAAAATGAATTAAGAAAAAGACAAAACAAAAACCCAGTGCATTTCTGCCCTTGTAATTCATCAAAGCCCAAGCCTGGACATATTCTGAAAGGTTGTAAAGTCTTATTTAGGCAGGCTTTCAGCTGGCAAGGTTTGTAGTACTGTCTACGGAGCTTATTTTATGATACACCATTTTAACACCTTTATAATCCATCTAGTTCATACTGTAAGCCACTTAGAGCCTCTTCTAGGGAAGGCAGCACAGGCACCTAATAAATAAATAAATAATCCTCTTTTCTTTGATTGCAGCTGCCTTGAGTTCCTTCATCAACTTAATTAGCAGTTTGCCATTACTAATGGAACAATAATATCACTACATACATTTAGGTGTTTTAAGTGCCTTCACTGGAAATATGAGTAATTTCAAATTATATTCTTTATTTTCACCACATTTTTGCAGTCAGATCACAGTTTCTGCAGTCCTCAATCCCTGGTGTATGGCATGGTTTAGAGTACTTTTTATTAACCATTCACATTTAACTGTGTTTATTTAAGGTTCCAACAAAGCTTAACTATCAAGCCACAACTTCCCTGCAACCTGGTAGAGATTAGGAGAAAAATTCAAAGAATGTTATAATTTGCCTAAGTTACAAGAAACAGTACCCACAAGTTGCTGACTCCATGACAAGTTCTGTTCAGTGAGCACAACTTTCTTCCATGACCAGTTAGCAAAAGCATTGACTCACCCTCTTCTGCTGTAGAGAGGTAGTTAGCTGTGTTGTCTGAAGTCAAGCAGAAGGCAGGGCTTGTAGACTAACCCACTCAGAACAAATCTGAATGATTCTTCAAGGTGTCACTCTGCCCTGCCTTCTGCCTTTCCTGTTGCAAATGATCAAACACAGTAGGAATTCAGAGGGGTCTCCCCATTCCTTATTTCATGCCCCAACCACTGTGTTATTGGCAAAATGTGCAGCACACACTCTGCTGCCACCAGTGTTTCTTTCACCCTGAGAGATATCCAGCCTACTAAGTGTTATCAGCCAGGCCCCGCAGGCATGATTATCAGGTGAGCACCTATTCTGAGAAGTCTACCTGATCTTAGGCATAAACTAGGGCTCTGAGCAGTTTAACAGCATCAAGACATGGACAGAATTAGTACTGTCTACCAAGAGTTTTTAGGTGCCATGTGATTACACAGCAGATGTGCAAGGACTTTGAGGATCTCTGATCCACATTAAGCCAATATTTGGATTTAGGCCAGACTCACTGTGACTTTGTAACAGGGATGGGCAAAATATGGTCCATGGGCCACATCTGGCCCAGTAACTGCCTGAATCCAGCCTGCAGCTGCCCCCAAAGTGCTCCACGAGGCCAAGCTTCTGCTCCTGCCAGGGCAGCCCGCACTCCTGCCAGCCTGGGCCCCAGTGCAGCTTCTGGCAGGGCTGTTCCCAATCCTGCTGCAGCTAACCAGACACTGCTCTGCTCCCCTCAACTCCAGTGGCAACTGCCCAGCTGAAGCTTCCCACTAGCCCGCTTGGAGCAGTGCACTGGGAACAAGAGTGGGAGGAGTTTCCACTGGAGGTGAGGGGAGCAGAGCATCACCCAAGTGGCTGCAGCTGCACTGGGAACAGCCCCACTAGAGGCTGTGTAGGCTGGCCAGCATCTGCTGTTCTGCTCCCCTTGCTTCCAGCTGTGATTGCTCCGGGAGGGCAGGGGGGAAGCTTCGGCTGAGTGGCTGCTGCCCAGTGCCTAGAGCTCCAGCTCTAGCTCCCAACTGCCTTGCACACCTCCTGCCCACCCAGAGATGAAAGGCCACCTATGGGCGGTCAGAGCAGGTGGAAGGCAGCCAGGGCCTAGCCCCTGGCCAACATGTGCAGCTTCCAGTGGGGCTGTTCTCTATGTGGCTGCAGCAACCTGGATACTGCTCTGCTCCCCTCACCTCCCAGTGAGAGCGTAAGCCCGGCCAGCTGCAGCCCCACCAGGAACAGCCTCACCAGAAGCTGTGTGCTAGCTGGGGCCTGGACAGGCAAGTGCAGGTGGGAGCAGGACATGGGCTGGGACACAGGGTTTGGCCCCATGCAGAGTGCTACAGAGGCACCCACTGACCTGCTGAGCTCTGCTACACATGCCATCAATCTCCCCCTCCCCTCACCACCAACTGGCTACCAGGCAGTGTTCCCCCCCACCCTGTGCAGGGAGCAAATCATGCCAGTCTCACTCCTGAACACTGCTGCTCCTCGTGCACCCAAAGCCCAATAGGGAGCTTTGGCGAGTTGTTGAGGGGTGGTGACCCAGCCTGCAACAGCTCATCAAAACTCCTTATGTGGCCCTCGGGCCCAAATAATTGCCCACCCCTGCTTTATAAAACATAAACACCTCAAGTCCAATATTAGCTGCCATAGAGAGATTCTCTGAACCCCATAGTTCAGTCCTGAAGTACCTAGCTGACAGTAGATCTATCAACCAAGAAGTACCTTCTTATAAAATGGTGCTAGTTATTTAAATTGTGTAATGCATCTGAGATGAAAGACTGTGAGAGATATTTTTTACTATCTAATATTGTAACAAATGTATAAAGATTCATATTCTCCCTAGCTTTGCTTGAAACTACCTAAAAATCATTGATCATGGAACCAAAGCAAAGTTTGTGATGTGTCAGCTTCTTTAGAAACTTCTCTGCTCAAGAAAAAGTGCTTTTTATCCCCCAACTATTTAATTTATATCACAAGAGTAGGATTAGTGTGCATTCCTTTATTAGAAAATGCTTTCTGAGTTTTACATCTGTATCACCTCAATAAAACTATACAGAATGAGCAACTAGTACTTCTGGGATTATATCCTGAAACCCCTCACACTGAAGCTAGTGTACGTTTCTTTTAAAAAAGTGTTACCAACAATTATCAAAATGGTCAAAATGCTTAACAGCTAAAACAAAACAGTAGAAGAGGGCATCTCAGAAGATTGTTTTAGTAGCAGTCATAAAATATGCGTAATATAGAAAACCATGTTTACTTGGAAAAAACAGTGTAAATGGTATTTCACAAAATCTCAAATTAAATCTGCTTAGAGTTTTCATAGCTGAAGTCACCTTGGTGATTGTTTACTGATAATCTGCTAGTATAATAATGTTAAATAGAATCTGCATATCATTTTATAATTAGATTTAAAATGTTACAACTTTTCATAAAAATAGTCCAACAACTATTTTCTTTCCTTTCAAGAGGGACAGCGAGCATTATGGGCAACATACATGTATTTCAAACAAAATGATTAAACTCTAGTTGAAATTTTTAACAACTTTTGACCATTCAAGTGCTATGGTCTCTCTATATACACATTCCTATGCAGCTAAAAAAAGATGTCGTATACAACTGAGCACACAGCCACCAAACTGTAAGATTACAAAATTCTCAGACTATAAACAGCAAATTGTACCTTACTTATTTAATTAAAAATAGAAGACTTAGACTATTTAGCAAATAAAACAGCACACTAGTGTGCTATATGTTAAGGCATATCTTTAAATGCGCACTTTTCATCTCTAACAAATTATTTACAATTGCTACCAAGTGAAAGGAACAATATAACTGTTCTGCATAACCGAGAAAGAAATACAAAATCTCTGGAAGCCTACATTTTGAGTACAAAATTAACCTTCAGTTCTTATGTTGGAATACTATACATGGTATAAACAGTGATTTCCCCCTCCCCCCACCGCCCTACAGAATCTCCTGAGGATTTCTTAGAGCTGGAGGTAAGTTTGAAGGTTTTGCTTCTTCATCAAGTAGTACCAAATCTTCAATGTCTCTTCCTCTGTACTTTCTTTTGCAGATCTTTACAATGACTTTTTTCTTCAGGAATAATTTCAAAGCTTCCCTTGAAGCAACTGCTTTGGCATTTTCCTGACTTTTTCCACATCCAGTACCCAAATAGACAGATTTGCACCTCAGTTCGCAAACTACATTTTCCTGAGTGCTCTTATTTTGAGGCAAGTCTGCAAGTTCCTTCAGTGGAACAAAAGCAACATCTAAGGTAGCTTTTACAGACTGAATGGACGAGTTCAGGAGTTCTGCATGATTCACATTAGGACTAAAGCCTCCAACAGCAACCAATTTCCAGGCTACAGCTTTGTACAATCTATTAAAAAAAGGTTGTCTTTCCTTTGCATCTTCACTGGTTAAAGGCTTACGCAGTACTTTAGCAGAACTTTCGCTTGCTTGTGACCCGGCCTTGGAAGCCAAAAGTGAAGCGCTTGCCTGGGATCCACTCTTGGAAGCCAAGAATGAACCGCTTGCCTGTGACCCGCTCTTGGAAGCCAACAGCATTGGAATGCTCACCTGTGAACTGGTCTTAGAAGCCAACAGCATTGGTGTGCTTGCCTGTGACCCACTCTTGGAAGCCAATGGCGCTGGAGCACTTTGTGAAATGCCCTTGGAAGCCACAGGTGCCGGAGCACTTGCCTGGGGACCGCCCTTGGAAGCCACAGGTGCTGGCGCGCTCGCCTGGG